GAAATAAGAAAATCACCAACAATAATCATCACTGGTGAAGGTAGATATTCAATCTTGGTCCAAATCAAATATGAGTTTGAGTATGGTTCTGCTGATACATAACTAAGCAGAGAGCTCAGTGGTGCGATAACATTCAGGGTCATGGTTGTTACTGTGATCGCCGCAATGCAGATTAATATTGTATGTCGACGACCCGAAGCATTGGCTGTATTCCTACATCTACTGTAGCATGTTTCAATTACTGGACTATCAAGAAGCAAACTCACTGAATAAGAAAGCCACTGGCAGAAACTATTGCCAAAGAGATAAAGACGCCTGTAACATCACTTGAGCCATACGTTCTGTTGTGTCCTAGAAATTTAATGATTTCACCGTAAAAGACAGATCTCAGAATGAGAGAGATTAGGCTATCATATATTGGCATGCCAAACTGTTCAGCCGGAATCGGAGGCTTTGAGTTAAGGGTGGTCATGATTCATAGATATTCTAGAAGGCAAGAACAACGGAGGAGTGAGACCAAGGCTTGACGCTAAGCGCTGAATCTTTGAAGGCAATGAACAGCAGCAACATCATCCCAAAAATAGACCTAGAATACTGAACCTACTTTAATACACTCATCAGTCAAGACAAGGGAAAGATACTAAGTCAAGTTTCTTCGACTTTACTGAGGAGGAAGGCGTTTGAATCTGCGCATGTAGAATAAAAAAAATCAAGCGCAGACTGCACCCACTGGCAGCAAGCGCTATGATGTGGTGGCAGGTCAAGGACGGCCGGTTCATATGAGCACCGCCACATGGTGGTCCGTCGATCGTCTGCAGAGGGCGGCATTGCCGGCAATTTGCTTATCATCATCCTCTACACTGCTGCACGAAACTTTGGCAGATTTCTAGAAGTATTGATGGTAAAAGAATGTAAAAACGTGTTTTTAAAGATTCTGAATAATCTTCCGAAGATTTTGAATAATACTCGTCTTTTCGAATCTTTCAAGAGCAATCTTGCATAAGCATGTCAACTCTTAAGGATTCATAAAAATATCTTGAGAAATCATTTATGGCTGCAGTTTCAACGCTCACGAGACTTCTCTCAACGCGTGCGGTGTACGGCCGCCGTGGCCCGTGCCTTTTAATAAGAGCACACATGGTTTTTGTTGACAACTCCCCCCTTCAACTTCAACCACCACTGCCACCTGAACGTCTCGCAACGTGTTGCAACATCTCCCTCCCCTCAAGTCCTGCCCTTTGTAACAGCTCAAGCGCCCAAGTCTCAATTACTCTACTCGATTCAAGACCAATACACTGTGCAAGCTCAAGCTCAATGTCCGAGTCTCTGCTGTCTCTGCAGCTGACGTTCCGAGTCAAGGCCGCATCGTCAACATTCAACTTCCTCAACCCTCGTTAACTTAATCAAGCTCAAACTCAGGCTTCTTGAACCTTAGTTTATTATCGTAGTAACGAGTGTACTTACTATCTGTACTAGTATTAGTAGCTTCGAGGTTATCCTCACTGGAATATATTTTTTCAACCATTTTTTTCGTGTCCGGTTTAGGATAGGGATCCGGGAACATCTGAAACGCCATCAGATATGACCAACGCAAAACTGGAAACTTCTGAAAAATCAACAAAAGATTCCTGAAAGTACGAGAAAATTATCCTAAGAGCCCTGAATTTTGGAAAAATTCAAAAGCTTGGGCGCTCCTCAATCTCAGAAATATTTTGACGGATCATAAAAGAATCTTAAAACATCAAATCATCGAAATTATTTTACATTTCCGTCCACCAGTGTAGGTCCTGCACTTCCACACCATCACTAAATCGGAGAGATTTTGGCCATAGATGGTAGTCCCCCGAAATCCAATATAAACTTGGTGCAATGATCGTAATATCAATAAAATACTGCATGTCAGATTCTCATTGAATATATTTGAGAGGCAAGTAATCTGTGATGACCTCAAATTACAATCCATGAAAATATCTGGAGGACCTTAGAATCAAGTACAATTATTGAAGTGTAAGGCATTCACACGTTATTAGAATGTAATGCATGATCCTCAAGCACAGAAAACGCCCAGGAATTATGGGACCAATAAAATTCTCACCGCCAGTAAATTTTCGGTTCAGAATGCTCATGGTACGACAACGTGAGGTGAATATCCTGTATTTGTACTAACTAGTAAAACGATACATTATACATGAATTGGAACAAGGACAGGGAGTAAGAAAGACGATCGTCAGGATACATAAGTAGGAAGAAAGAAGAGGAACAGACTGGGAACCTGGGGAGCGAGCGTTAACGTAGAGTCGGAGTCGTAGAGTCAAGCGTGTACCTTGAGCCTTGGAAGTTGATTTGTCGGACACGTTGCAGCGAGCTTGACACGTCCTTGTCTTGGTATTAGAGATCTTGTTGTCTTTTGAAGGAGAGTCAGTTGCAGAATAGAGCAGATTTGCTTGACAGAGCGTCTTGACAGAGCGTCTTGAGGGAGCGTCTTGAGGGAGCGTTGAGAGAGAACAAACACGATGGTGGGGGAAGAAAAAAGAAAGAGCGACTTACCCTGATTTACCTCAGGGTGCTAAATAATGTAAGCCCAGGTTATCACGCATGTCAGAAAGATATATTGGGGCATAAAAATGGGGCGCTGATGCCAAGCAGGGTTGTGTTACCCGAGCGGAAACGGACTTGTAGATCTGTTTTCATGAAATCGCAAGCTTTGTTGAAGGGACTAAGTAATAACTTGGGATTTCAAGGAGCTGATTTTGGCCTATACCCATCGCTGTTGAATTAACACACCAAAGTACCGGCAGAAGTCAAAAAGGTGCATGTTGGGTGCATGCATATCGGCAGTAAACAATCAGAGAGGGATATGCAGTGATGCCCTCAGGGAAACCCTTGCAGGACCAGGATATAATCCTTTTCGAATATAATGCATTGTATCAACAACAAAATATGGGGGGATGCTGAAAATCAGATATCACACCAATATAATATGCAGCTGAGGTCACAATACTACTGCAATTTGAGAGTAAGACCATAATACATCGCAATATCGTCTTATTATTCCTTGGCCATGGGGATGTATGATATTCCATTATGATAATACAAAACTTTGACGTATAATGCCCTTTGGTATCATCCGACGGCAGCTTTTGTCCGATTTAGTGATGACTACTATCACGTCCATAGTTTTTATAAAAAATTTGAAAACTTGCCTCGGAGATGCTTTGAGCGTCCTTGGATCTCTCCCGGATTTTATTGTAATGGGGGATAGTATCCTAGCTTTCTTTCTATCTACTTTATATAGAAAATAAATACCTTGTTCGAGCACGATGACTTTTCCGGTGTCGAGAGTGCGTTTGCACAGAGTTTTTATAAAAATCAGTCACATCAGTAACATATACAATCAACGGCACAGGCAGCGGCGCTGCCCTGGTAATTTCTTCACGTGCATTTTCAGCGCAAGATTCTCTCTTCTCTCTATTTTACGGTGGAATCGTTCCGTACTGGGACGTACCACCGTTTCTCGCAACGCGATGTCACGTACCTCCTACAAGGCCGACCCGATCGAAATGCAATCCGAGAAATCGTCTTCAGTTGAGCCCGAGTCTAGCTTTGTACCAGACCAGGAAGACCAGAAACCTCACCGAAGATCTCCAAGTCCGGGATGGTTGGACGGCTGGGATGTATTCAAGTACGTTGCACATATCTCTTCAAAATTTGACGCGACTTGGACGAAATCACGCTAGTGTGAAGCCGAAAGTTCTGCCGTAGAGTAACGGCTGAGAGCGGCAGCCTTCCTGTTTGAGCGATGTCACTCAAATATCACACTTTGGCTTCAAGTTTGTCTAGAACACTGTTTTCTGTCTGTAGTGTCTCGGAGAAAAGCTCCGAGACATCTAACTCTACATTTACACGTACCACAGACTCTTTTTCATTTTCTAATTCTGCATAGAAGTGAAATTACTCATTTTTCAAAAGAAAATCCACGCGCTTCATAAAAAACAAGTTGCGAAACTTGTATCCGCCCAAATTTAATCAAAAAAAGACTGTGAGAGTAGGTAATGGGTATTTATACTTCATTTCCGAGCCATACTTATTGCAATTCTCGAGTGGAAATGCTCTTAAAGGGCATTTTTAAAAACCTTGTGCATTTGATCAATTTATAAAATTGATGGACGTGATAGTATGCAGTCGATGATGCGTGTAAAAGACGTGTATCTCTTCCCTTGTACCGAAATCAAGCTCGAAAAAACCACGGGACTCGAAATCGAGGATGAGAATTCTGAGCTACACTTGGTCATTTGCGGCGTTTGCCATTGAATGTGGTGTCTCCGCTTCGTCCGCCGCAATAATCGAGACTGCTCCATCCAGGACTAACCATAACGGACAGGCTCCCGCTCTTTCCGTTGCTCTTCCCCAAAATCCCTCCATCCCGAATCCTAATCCTTCCCACACCCAAACCCGTCCTAGCAGACAACGATATCGACTCTTCATCCCTACCTTTCAATTCCAATTCCAACTCTGACACAGACACAGAGTCCGAAACCTTCGATCTCGACTGCGACCACCTGTACCGATACCCTCTCGCCCTCGCCCAGGAAAACCACGTCCCACGGCGAAACCCAAACTGACACCGACACCAACAGCTACACCTCCGATTCACAAAATGAGGCGTAATCTCAAAAGGGAGGACAAGATTGATATTATTGAAGACCCGTTGGGTTTCAGGTGGTTTGATGGTTGAAGCGGCGAAGCTAAGTAGGGAAAAACGGGCAGCCAAGGTACTGCAGGGGTACAAAATATTTTTTCAATCATGTTGCGATGCTAGACACCTGGTTCCCGGTCGGTGTAGGACAGCGTTTTCGTTAGGTATTTTCTTGTCAATCTCCTGGTACATAATATGTATATGTAAGTAAAAAAAACCTTTCGATTACAGTGTACAAGTGCCTACCATTGAAGTGAAAGCCAGATGGTTCGTAACTTGAGCCATAAACTTAGGGAATAGTTATTCCGATATGGTGTAGTGGCTAAACATTATCGCCTCTTGGCATATTATCCAGGTCGGCGCCCTCTCGCTTTGCGCGATAGCCCGGCGGGGCTCGATTCCCCGTGTCGGCATGTAGGAATATCACTAAAAGAAGGCTGTATGATATTTTTCTTTCTAAAAAGTTGGATACGTACTTACTTACATAGTACTTACTTCAATGAGATCCTACTAGGTGATACCGGTACATGGCTAGATTCCGAAGGATGCTATCAGTTAGCACTGTTCAAATACAAGCACCAAAGCACGTAAGCAAAGTCACTTAGTAATGTACAGTCTAGATCTTGACTATTTACGCTGGTGTCGCGAAGGACATATACTCGCACTCTTACACATAATCTCTCTTGGTTACCCTAAGTATATGCGTACCCCTCCATCAGAGTCCAAACCTCATAAACCCAAGGACACCAGCCCCAGAATCATGCAGTCGGGAAAATTTAGTCTTTTTCCAACCCGGGCTGCTTCTCCGTCTTCTTTGCTTTTGCTCTTGCCTTTTTCTTCTGACCCTTCGATAATTTTCCTGGTGCCGGCACTAAGGGCTCCGGGGACAAAGTAGATGCTAGCGTTGAAGGTGGATAACAGTATGCCACTATTTCCTTGCACTAGTACACACTCTGTGAAAACGACGATTACAAGTTATCAAAGCAAACAACGTACCGGCCCATGAAGTTTCCTCTTTCCCAAAAAAGTAAAGCCCCCCCACGCAGGATGAGTGCTGGGATCCTTTGCATGTCCAAACGACTCCTGGACATCTTTGCTCTTCTCACCGCAGTAAACCATGCCCATATCTCGTGTCAAAGCCTCCCATTCACTAGCACTCGCTGCATCGCCATAAAGCGCGCATAACTGGAAAGCATTATGTGAGAACCGTGAGATGAGGCTCTCGTAGCCCTCCTCGCATACAATAAGAAGCTGCTTCTCGATGTCTTTCAGGATACTGAGAGGGGCGTACTGTTTGCTGTTTATCACCTCCAGAACGAGATCATCGAACTGGTAGAAGGCCTTGATACGTTTGGCGGAATGCTGTCGCTCTGCGGCCGGACGTAAGCATCCACGGCAAGAACAGTCAAATCCAAAATGTTTGCGAAGGAAAGTCAGAGGATCCTGGGATGCCTCTGAATTTTCATGTATATAAGAAACAGTGATTTCTTCGTTTCGGTGAATATCGTGGATAGCATGAAGGACTTCAAGGGGTGGTAATGGAACGCGTTACATTAGCTTTTATGGTTTTATTCACGAAGATAGTCAAACCTCACGTTCTTTCCCAGACGGTTCGTCCCAGCAATATGCAGCGTTGGGACCATCTAATGGTGATGGGCACGTATGGTTGACTTTGCAGATCGTGGCGAAGAGGCCATGGCCTTCGTCCGAGCTGCCCACCAGCGGAAGAAAATGCTTGAATCGGCCGATGATGGGATGGTCGGTGGGTGCACACGGAAATGAGAGGAGACATTCGATGGCTTCCGGCGTGATCAAGTCGCGCTTCATAGGATATCTGACTTTTAGGGTCTCTGCTATGATAAGTGTTCCCCGAGGGATATCTTCCAGAGCGCGAACGCCTTGGCCTTTTCCTGGGATGTCGACGATGCAGACTTTGGGGAACGAGAGAGTCATGGTTGTGAGTGCGATGAATGCGTTCACCTCGTGTCTGTACTAATCACAATTGAAAGTTTAAATCCTTTAGTTAAGGTTCTATGCGGCAGCGCAGCAGCAGCCGGTAATTCATGAAGCATATCTGAGTTGGCGTACATTTGTTATGTCAGTATAACTTGGCTTTGAACGATAACGTACTTCTTATCCTTACCCTTTCGATTATCTTGACTGGCATGGCCGTAGACGTTGGTTCTCGAATTGACAGTCCCCCGCTGTGTTTCTTTGGTAATGGACTCGGAGTAACAAGTGGCGCTTCTCCAGGAAACATCCCATCGAAAATAAGTCAATTATCACCAAAATCCCAAGTTTATGTAGAACCGTTGTGGCCGGGTGCCACCAAGTTGGGTGTTATGGTGGACATCTCCTCAACAACAGACAATTTCAACTTGACTATGAGAGATACCGTAATCAAATACAGCCCCTAGACCATCCGAGTCATTACAAGAGTGTAACCACAATTAATTGAACAACAAACACACCACAAGTAATGGAATCATAGACAACAGCCAGTTCTGTAAAGAATTCAGACTCGGTCCAGCATGAACACCTGGCCAAGCCAACAAGGCTGCTTTCGCAAGTTGAATAAACATGTAAACCACCTAAATGCTAAGGTTGATTTTCAATTGACAATATCTATGAGAACTTCCTTACTTGTAAGACGGAAAACACAACTCCAGATTCTATCCAAAGCATCAATACTTGTTGTGATTTCGTTAACCTATTGTGCCTTCGGAGTGCTTTCCAGTCTCTTCTATACATCCTGACAGAATGTCAGTATGAAATGCCAGATCTAACTATTTTTCGCACTTACCAAGCTTTGACACCGATAAGAGATGTACTTAGGATATTGATGGCAAGACTGGTGATCAATCCCAGCACATTTGAGACCAGCAGGGTGGACCAGGGACTATCGAGGGTCAAAGACAGAGCACCCTGAATTACCCTTACAGACATATATGATGATGCATAAAGGCATTGAAAACCTAAGCCATGAAGAATTCATGCTTAAGTGGCAGAACAGTTAAGTAGAGTCTGTAGAGAAACAATACACACTGATGTTTGCCATCATAAGAATGATGAGGATAGCTTTGATATATCTCGAACCGGGCCACATAATCCAAGCTCTCCATGAAATAAGAAAATCGCCAACAATAATCATCACTGGTAAGGGTAGATATTCAATCTTAGTCCAAATCAAATATGAGCTTGAGTATAGTTCTGGCATTACTGATATATAACTAAGCAGAGAGCTCAGCGGTGCGATGACATTCAGAGTCATGGTTGCTACTGTGATCGCCGCGATGCACATTAATATTGCATGTCCATGACCCGAAACATTTGCTCTATTCCTGCATCGACTGTAGCATGTTTCAATCAGGATTATCAAGAAGCAAACTCACTGAATAAGAAAGCCACTGGCAGAAACTATTGCCAAAGAGATAAAGACGCCTGTAACATCACTTGAGCCATACGTTCTGTTGTGTCCTAGAAATTTAATGATTTCACCGTAAAAGACAGATCTAAGAATGAGAGAGATTAGGCTATCATATATTGGCATGCCAAACTGTTTAGCCAGAGTCATAAACTTTGGGTTAAGGGTGGTCATGATTCATAGATTCCAAAATGCAAGAACAAAGCGAAGTGAAACCAGAGCTTGAAGCTAAGCGTAGGCTCGTTCCCACCCGCTTCCAGATGTTGATGCGATCAACGGTCAGCCGGCTAAAGCGAGGCTTCTCTGGAAGCGGCTGGGACCATTCGTTGTCACTTTGGCAGGTAACGGATTTGTGACACAACACTTAGAATTTTTCAACCTTGCAAGTTCAAAAAAAAAGTATTCGAGTGACCTATCTCATTCAAAATAGTTTAACGAAACCTTTCAAATGATATAAGGGAAAAAAACAACATTTTTTGAGTACTAACTAAGTAATGACTTGGGCAAAAGCCATCATTCCATAACGCATTCCATAACGCCTTCGCGTGACACACAGCCAACTTAACATTCCAATTTTCTCTCACTTTTTCGATTTTTTTTTGACCTATACCGTTCAACTGACTTTCCAAAAATAATGTCATCTAAATAGGTGTGTAGAATACTTTTTTTTTGAGCAAAAAGGTTGAATTTTCTAAGTGTCAAGTCACAATTTGCGTGACCTGGTAAAAGGACGACGAATGGTCCCAGTCTATTTGGGAGAGTCACCCGCATCTCTGATGCGATCACACCCGGTGATCCGACCAAATGGCAGGCCTGCGAGTCTAAGCTAAGCGCTGAGTATCTTTGAAGGCGTTCCGCTACTTGATCTAATAGTCGCAGCCTGATCGGATTTTAATGAACAGCCTACAGTAATATCAACTCAAAAATAGATCTAGAATAGTTAACCGACTGTCTCGTACAATTATCAACTGAGAAAGACGTGAACTCATTAAGGACGGCCCGCTCATCAAGCCCTCCTTTCACGCGCGCATAGCCAGTGGTCCCGAAGGAGCTGGTCCTACCCGGCACCGGCAGACTCAGCTCTGGACTCCCGAAGACGCGCGGTCGCTGGCAACCGGTTGAACTTGGGATGATCCTGTGACTCAATCTACCAGTAGTAAGAACCCTTCCATCAACGTTTGAGCAAGCGGAGAGCGTCGTCACCTACCACTGCTGCGTTATAGTTGAAGGAGATTAGCACGGGAGAAAGAGCTGCGGAAGTCGGTGCGAAGGCTATGAGTTTCGACAAGATGCCTGTTATGCCTGTGCATTGTAAAAATACATGCGCAGACGAAAAAAGTTGAGTCATCTCCAGTCTACCTAGTCATGAAAAATTGTATGGACCTTATACGAAAGAAGCCCAGAAGCAGAAGGTATAGGCGTAGTCGTAATTGTACTTCAGTTGGGAAAGTAAAACGAGACTACTCACTTTTCAATTACCTGCGGAGCTTCCACTATTCCATCTTTAGTCCAAACTGCGTCGACTTACTCATTCTACCACAGTCAAATAGTGATACTTTATCAGAGGACGAATACCTCAGCAACTCAAAGCTGAAGCGTCTTCATTGAACCAAATTTAAACCATAGGCTGATACAACAAAAATTGCAATGCAGCAATTAACTGAAAAGAGTTTGAATTCCATAAGTATTGTAAAGTGGGAGGGCCGAAGAAATAGGAAAGCGATGACGATAACAATGAGGGTTGACATATGCTTGTTGTGGGATTTACTGTAAGGATGGGTAATGCAGAGAATATTGACGTATACGGGTATACGGTAGCAGAGAAAGTGAGGGTTCAGACTATGTGGCCAGAGTATGTGTGCATAGCGAGAATGAGAATGAGTGATGGGAATGATGTTTGAGTGAAAAAAACCGACGAAGGATATAAAGGCACAGGTCGACCGGGTCGATAAACAACACAAGGGGATCCAAAGCGACTCGTGTTGCAGG